GACCAACAAGTTCCATTTGTGAATTTGGATCGTGGTGTTCACCCATTGTAGGAACCACCGAGGAAGAAATGCTTTTGATTTGCTGGTTTTTGCATCCATTTTTCTGGTCTGAATAAAAGGAAACTTGCATTAATAAGTATATGGGCAGTTGAGTTAATATATGAAAGAAGATATAACACTGGAAATCTTACAGGGAAGACTTGGAGCAGACATATTCCGTAGTGCTAACAAGTATTATCAACCAGATATAATAACCTAGAAATATTCACTTAAAAGAATTGAAGCATTCCATGTACAATAGCAGCATATGTCAAGATTTATTTTGAAGCTCACATATCTTAGGCTGCAGGCATTTATACATTTAATATTAAAAAATTATATTTTCTTCTGCATGCTGCCCCCAGACACCAAGGTCGCCAGCTTAGATGCTCATGGCAGAAAACAAGCAGAGTGGCAGCATTGTCAAGAAGAAGAAAAACAATAAGTCCATTGGAGCGAGTGTCGATTTTAGGAGACCTTTTGACATAAAGTAGATTGCTCTGGGAAAATCTGATACAGGTGCTTCAGATTCAGCACTATGTCTATCAGGGAAGAATTAATTTGGGTTTGCTGAGAAAGGTGTCAAGGATGGTTCAGGGAATTTTACAAGTGACTTTGCTTGGTTTCAGGTCTCGTTTTCTGGAAATCAAATCCATACTACAGAATTGAAATAAGACCAAGATAAAATCCATAGCAATTGCACATCTTCTAGTTCCCCACCCTACCCCACCCAAAACACACACAGGGAGAGTAACAAGGATTCTCACCTTCTTAATGCAGTTCCTTTTTTCTCAACTAGATTTAGTTTTCCATATACAAATTAGCCCACCACACAAGAAGCTAGTAAGAGAAAGATTGTAATAACTAACCACAGGTGTCTAAGGCCTATTTTAATTCTTTTTTCTCCAACAAATGCTAGTCTTAGTTGTATCAAGTTCTATTCAGTTTAGATCATAAGCACTATCACAATTATAAAAACCTTCAAATTTCCTTTTATTTCACAGATTGAAAGGTCTTGGTCAGGATGTCAAATTGATGATGCATTCGGTCCTTCAATCTCACAAAGAAGACAAAGGCTTAGTATATAATTATAAATAAAATAAAATAAAATTTTAAAAGGGTTTCTCAGAATGATTACTTTATAGGTAATTTGATGTAGTAGCAAGTGTGAAAATTTCCAATTCAGAAAAAGAAGTTCACATCAAATTTTAATGATAATGCAAAAGTAACTACCAGACTCTGATCCTACTGTAGTCCGCAATTCTTTGTTGAAGTTGGCCCCACCATCCAGCCTAGCATTAGCTTGTGACTGCATAGCTCCATTCATGACCATACTATCACGATGATCCACCAAAGATGATGCTGGAGCACTTTCACCTGACGATGAATTGTTCCCCACTCCACGCCACCAAGGTTGGGCATAGATAGCTGATTCCAGCACAGTCTGGGCACCGTGTTCTATATGTGGATCTTCATCTTTAGATTTAGCCGGCATCATTCACCACTTTCTCCTGGAAAAATATAACCATGAGTTTTAACATAAAACAAAAGGAAGATGAGGAAAGAAACCAAAACCAACTACTGATCAACAGTCATTGCATAAAAGCAAATGACAGAGAAACACTACGATAAGTAAATCTGCTTAGGCGCATCCAAAAAATATTATTTGAATCAAAGAATCAACCAGTAGTTTACTAATAGAAACATTGTATGGAGATAAGAACTCAAAATAAATACAAAAAGTAAAAAAAAAAAAAAAAAAAATATGCAGGTGAAGCACAAATTAATCCAGCAAAACAAATGGAACAAAATAGTAAGATGGATGTTCCACACTTAATCATATTATTCCTATTCCTTCTACAGTATAAAAAGGATGACAAGCTTGTTACCAAATTGTTTGAGGACAAAGCTAGGCATAAATACATCGATCAAATGTTGTAATGACCAATGCTCCTCCCAGAAATGTTAACTCCAAATTCACATATGGATTCCTAAGCGTTACTTGAGTACTCTAGATCTCCCTCGTGCATATCCAATGTAAGATTCAGGGGAGTCACAATCTTCCCTCCACGAATATCATAATTCCCCCTGCTTTGGGCTTAGCCCAACCCTTGCAGGTCCAAAGGTCCCTAGGCCTTGGAAATGCTAGACCTGCATATAGCACTTCACTTCAACTTAACAAGGCAATGTGGGACACATGAATTTGTGTTCATCTCACCTGTCTTCCAATCACCACAACTATCTTGGCATGTCCATCTTAGGAAATCAAAGCTTATCCAATCAAGGAACCTTGGCTCTCACGTCAAAAATCCATTACCTCATAGCATAGGGGGAACTGACACTTTTTCCCTCATTAGCATGAAGTAGTTGCTGTATCCATGTCCCCAATTGACTAGTAGGAATTGGGTTTGGCCACTTTGATACTATTTATGGTGATCCCAATCAAAAGTGCCAACCCTGGCTGACATTTAATTTCCAGGGTCTTGCTTAAACAAAGATTCTCTATACACAACGCCTATCTTTCTTAAAGACAGGATGCATTGACAAAACCTCACTTCTATGTAATTTCCTTCAATTTTGATCCCATTTTATTGACATGGTTGATTATTTAGGGTATAGAATGACCCTTTGGATCTTCGGTTTTAGGTTTTAAGTATCAAATTTTGGGAGCAATTAACCAATCCGAGACTAGAACCTAAAGTCTAAGCTCTAAATGATAATTCTAGTCCCTAAAACAATCAACCATGTCAACAAAAGGGACCAAAGCTTAATAAAATTTAGTGGAAGTGAGGTTTTCACAGCAAGTCTCATCTTTAAGAAAGATGGAACGCCGTGTACTAAGAATAAATGCTTGCTTAAACACTCTAAATATTGCTAGCTAATAGTTGATGTGGCATTAAGGGGTACCACAATCTCCCCTCCTTTAGGGATATCATAACTGTCCTATTATGAGCTTGAGAAATAAAGACATTGACGCACAAATTCAAGCATGCAAATTGACAGAAGTTGACAAGCATATTAATGCAAAAACTAGGAGTTGTTAAATCATTTAAGTTATGAAGGACATCTTTTCTGTTTAGTATTTTCTAATCATCCGACATTTCTCTTTAACTCATTTCTTGAGTAGCCAGGTTATTACAATGTTAATGACTAGGGAAAATCTTTAACTCATCCTCTTTCACAAAAAATGAAGGCAAATATTATTTGATCCCAATGCCAACAAATCCTAAATCTTTTCCATATCCAAAACTTCAGAGACATTTTTTTCCAAATATAAAAGCAACCAGGTCCAGAATCAATATAACAAGCGTCTAAATCGATAACGAATCATCTACTCAACAGTATTCTGTAAGTCCCCATGAAAAACCAACAAATTCCACACTTGTTGCCCAATCATCTAAAAAACACAAACAGTTCAATTCGTTGCCACTGTCTCAAAATGCTCCAATACAGAGAATCCAAGAGCAAAACTCAAATTAATAAATAAATAAGTAAATACTAAATAACAACCGCCGGATCTCACAAATAAAAGTGCAACTCATTTTGGTACCTTTAACATGCAATTACATCTTTAATCAAGTTTTAATGATTCACAACTTCAAATGGATTCTAAGTTCAGCTTCCGTTGGTTGCTGAAAGAAAAGACCAGTATGAACAAAAAATTTCAAATTTATAAATGTCAAAACATGTAAAATTCATTGTCCTACTTCACTAAACCAGACTAAATTTTCAAAAACTTTTTCCATCTGGGTACCCAAATTGTTCTACATGCACACCTGTTTCCAATACATATATTACTGAATAAAAAACTAACCAAAAAATACAAAAAGAAAGTGAAAAGTTTGAGCTCCCTTTCACTTTCCAAAACCAAACTTCGAAATTTGTGTTATTTTCTTTATAATTCCCCTGTTTTCTCACTAACCAAACAGAGATAGAAGGACCTTTCTCTATCAAAAAAAAAAATCAAACAAGAAACATTGATTTGAACCAAAATGAAAGAAATTAAGAGAATTCGAACAGACAGAAGAGAAAAACTTGAGAGGGAAAATCATACAGTGGTGAGCGAAATAGCAGACAGGAACCCTAAGAAGTTTTATTTTCAGGGATTCGAAGTCGTCGAGGTAAGTCTCTTTCTCTCTCTCTCTCTCTCTCTGTCTTCTCTCTTTTCTCTCTCTGCAACCTTAAGAGAGACAGTGGAAGATGACGCAGATAGAAATTTTTTTAAATATGATATCTTTTCTAAATTTTCAGGAAACATAATTAATATTTCTTTAGTTTAAACTATAAAGATGACAGAAGTTGAGTTGACTTTACCAAACTACCCTTACAATTCTTCTTCTCTTTACAGAAAAATTAATATTTCTTGGTTTTATTTCTCTCATCTCTCTTGTTGTAATATTACTTTTAATTCATTATAATCTAATTTCA